ACCCAGGTATTTACAGCTGCTATGAACCTGACAGCCTGAGAGAAACTTCAAAGGGGGAAAAAGCAACATAAACCTGGGAGTTGATTGTGGTCCAGCCGGGCGCTGGCTTTCTGCATAAAGGAGTGGCCTCCTCCCCACACTCTGTAATGACAGTCTCTGTTGTGCTTTTCTCAACTTGTGGTCTATCTATGAGGACCTGTCAATCATGTGACATGGTGTCATGCTTCTCATCTACACATCACATATTCTAGTGGCTAGTGACCAGTAGGCTCCTCTTGCATGATTATTAGAATGCTAGTAGTCTTGCCTTCCCATTTGAACTGGCAGTCCTAGACAACAGACCCCAAAGCAAAAATGGCAGAGTTCACCAACTAGATAAAACTCTCTCTGGCCACTTTTGTCTTGGCCTTTTCTCCTTCGCCCCTCTGCCCCTTCTCTCATGTTGGGCAATATTCCTAGCTCCGAGGGTTGCTGCTTTTGTGTATTGAGTATATCTGTGTGCGTGTACGTTCACCTATGTGCACGTGGAAGCCAGAGGAGACTGTTAGGTGTCCTTTCTCAGGCACGGTCCACCTTATTTCCAGAGACGCTCCTCTGGCCTGGAACTCAGGTAAAGCCAGGCTGCTCTACCTGCCAGCCCCAGGGCTCCACCAGTCTCCACCCCTCCACTGCATTACAGACAGGCAGCACCACAGCCAGCTTTTCTAAGTGGGCTCCGAGTGCCAAACAGGTCCTCATGCTTACACAGCTTTGCGGACAGTGCCACCCCCCATCACTCCCGTCACTGTTTGCTATTATAGCACACTGTAGGAGGTGGGAAGAACCAGAAGGAAATGAAGGAACTAGAAGTGTTAAAGCTCAGCAACATGTAATCTTGCCTTGGCCATTTTGTCTAAAAAAAACAAACAAAACTGTAACTACTGAGAAGAAAAATGGGTGGAGCAAGGCTGGAGAGGATAGATAGCTTCCTTCCCCCTAACATTGAGCAGTAGGAGCTCTGAAGGCTGTTTCCAAGAGAGGGTTGAAGTCCTTTGGTGAGAATACATTAGCAAAATATATTTACATATATAACCCCTCCTATAAGTTAAGTGTGTGTGTGTGTGTGTCTATGTGTGTGTCTGTGTGTGTGTGCGCGCGTGTGCATGTGTGTCTGGAAAAGGAATACAGAACAGTAGCAGAAGGCTGTCTCCTTACTCCTAATGGGATTTTGTAACAGCATGTGCGAGTTTGTTTCAGAAGTCAAAAATGAACAGATGTTGGTATAAATTACCTCTGTGTCTGATGTCTTGCAAATTAAAAGCGCGGTTGGCATCACTAAACAATTTCACAAGGCTTGGGGGGTGCCGTGTGCGGGTGGTGATTACTGTAGAAGGTTGGGTAAGAATCTTCACACTGCAACAGATCAAGAGAGCAAGGATAGAGAAACGAGGAATAAAATAAGGGCTATATGAATTAATCAGGAATGTTAACATTCCTGATGACAAGTGAACAGGAGGGCACTTGCTCTGGAGCAGCCCCTGACCCATAGCAATTTCCCTGTGCACAAAAAGGGGTTGGTGCTGGGGATCTGATTTATAGGACACAGCCCTCTTTTAGGGAGAGGCTATGTCATGCATTCGTATATCTCCTATATGGGACTGGCAAGAAGGAAAACTTTCTCCCCTCCCATGTAGAAGATGATGTCTTTTGAATTACTTCTACTTTTATGGTGGTTTTCTGCAGCTCTGTATACTTGGATTAGGTCGAAGGGGGAGGAATGATTGAGTGGAAAGGGAGTTGTTAAAAGGATTGGTTAAATTCAAGGAAAACTTCCCACTGAGAGACTTCAGAATCTCTGCTTATTTTTCCTCTTAAACTCAAATTTTTTAGTCCTTTTAAACTTCTAAGTTTTAACATATCCAGGTCATTCTTTCACTTTTGGGATCAGGGACAGTAAGAAGGAACTGAAGAGATGGCTCGGTAGTTAAGTACACTCTCTGCTCTTATACTGGATCTGGGTTTGGTTCCCAGCACCCACATGGCAGCCTATAACCTTCTGTGACACCAACTCCAGGAACCACCCCACACCCTCTTCTGTCCTCTGCAGGCACTAAATATGCATACACATCGACAAGACACTCCTGCATAAACAAAAATTAATCCCTTTTCAAACAACAGAATGGAATTGGGAGGTCTAAGGACAACAGGCAGAAGTCACGAGTGAAATCAGGGTGTGTCCAGGTCTTGGGAACATAGTCTCTTCTAGCCAGCAGAGTTGTGACCCATACACTTGCTTCTAGCCATGTTGCAGGCTGGTTTGATGCTGTTTGGGCTTAAAGTTCTTAACTGTAGGCAGTTAACCCGTGTAGGCAATCTACCTGGAATTGTAAGTACATTTGTAAAGGATTAGGTTAAGGGTGTGAATTCCAGTCAGTGGAGTTTTTGAGGTTTCTGGTCTCCTTTATCATCATTCATCTATTCGCTTACTCAGAAAATGTAGGAAGTCACAAAATCAGTTACTATCTGTCTCTAAAAATGGCCGTCTAGTAGCTGCCACTGTAATGATAATATCCAAGAGAAGGTAGAGCAGATGGGCTCTGCCTGTTCCTGTTGGATAGATGCAGAAGGTGAGGACTGGAGACTGTCCAGCCTGAGGCTCATGTCTCCTGCCTCTGTCTCCTCAGTGCTGGGATTTTAGACGTGCACCACCAGGCTCGGTTTATATAGTGCTAGGCAAGCAGTCAGTCAGCCGAGCTGCACCCCTAGCCCCAAATCCTGTATTTTCTGTAAGAAGTCTCTGCTTTCTCCCCATGGATAAGTGGTTAGTTGATTTCCAATCATCCGGACCTTGCTTGCGCCCTGATCACTTTTTAACTTGGTATTACTTTCTTCAAATGGCCCAGCCTACAATCTGAATTCAGTCCCCTAAACCCATGATGAAGGAGAAAACTATCCCCCAAGCTGTCCTCTGACTTCTACATGGGCACTGTGACTTATATGCACCAGCTACTGCATGCCTGTGCACACACATAATAAATATTGTTTGACTGGGCATGGTAGGTAGTACATGCCTTTAATCTCAGCATTCGAAAGACAGAGGCAAGTAGATCTCTGAGTTTGAGGCCAGCCTGTTCTACATAGTGAGTTCTAGGCCAAACATGGCAACATAGGGACTTCATCTCCAGAAAAAAATAATATGAAGAAATAAGTTGTTTTTCTTGAGGAAATAAGTAAAAACAAAAATACATTTTTTAAAAACCCATGTAGAGAAAATGGTTTACCAAAAGCGACTGGCTAGTCTTAATTGACTATAAAGGAAGCATTCGCTCTTGCAGCGTTCCTCCTTATTCTTTTGTATAGTATTGTTTGTGTGACCAGCATTTATTCAGTAGGCCTGCTCTCAATACTGACATTTTAATGAAGGAAGACATGTGTAAAAGGTGGTGACTCCACCAAGTAAGGATCAGATTTGGGCATAGGCAGGGTTGGGACACTGAGGAACCTAACCCTGAACTTGCATAACCTAGCTGATAGAGTTTCCTCCTCCTTCTGTTGGAGCTCAGGAAGAGGAGGTGTAGGCTGGTGATGTCGAGAGCCTCCTTGTGATGATGGATTGTACATATAGGGAACTAGGGTGCAGGCGGGAAGGCTGGGGCAGCTTTGCATGCTTGCTGGTGGTTGAGCCTAGAGCCTGCTAACTCCAGGCAGACACTCTACCAAACTGAGCTACGTCCCTGGGCCTTATTTTATTTTAAGACTGGCTCTTGAGTTAAGTACCCCCCAGCTGGATTACAGGCCTTTACCACCGGGCCTGGCAAACAAGCAACTGTTATGTTTAGATTGATGGGTATGGGGGATCAGCCCTGCATCATTTGCTCTGTTGTAGGTAGAGGCAGCAAGGAGGTTGGAACAAACATCATTTTCAGTACTACACTTACCTCCTAGCCACTTCTTTTCTTTGGCCAAGATGGACATGTGATTGTGAAGCCATGGGACACCACCTACCCAGTGTCCACTGCATAGCTCTAGAAGACTTCTCGCTTCCCAGCCTAACTATCAGAATCTTTCATAACTGTCAAATCCATTTAAAAGATCTAAAATGATGGCTTTGTGGGATGAAGATGGGAGGGCTGCATTTGCATATGCTTTTTGAAAATTTGCTTGACAGAACTATAATGGGGGGGCTTCTAGAGTGCTTCCTTGTAATTGGAGATGGTTTCCTTTTACTTTGGAGCCTCTCATATAGGAAAGTAGCTGAATAAACCTAGCAGTAACTAGATTTCAAAGATTGATGGTACTGAAAGTCAGAGAAAGACACATAAACCTTGCCTGGCTATATTAAATGCCTACGGACTGACAATGCCAAGAGAGAGAAGACCAAAGCTCTATAAACCCTGCTTTATTACACCATCCCGGGATGAACTGCACTGAGGGAGTATAAACCCTGTTATATTACAGCACACAGGGCTTCCCACTACTCAGAGGTGGGGTGCATGAGCACTGATTTTGATTTGAGTTTATAAATGTGCAGAGACCAACAGTCTGGAGAAAATTCTAATCTTGGTTAGATTTGGGCGTCCTAGAACAAACTGCATAAGAGAGTGAACATGGGTATTGGAGTTGAAAGACAAAGACACAGGGTGGCTCAGACCCTTATTAGAATCCCTGATGATTTTTGTAAGGATAGCTGATAATCTTCCCCCGTTCACCTGTACCTTATACCGTTGCCAACTTCAGATTCGCAGTCCAGTTTTATTTGTCAGTAGTAGTTTGCCCTTTAGAACACTAGTTATGAATGAATTTGGTGGGGTAGCAGTTTGGTAAACAGTTGATTTAAGTGTATACCAATTGATTTACTTACAATATACTACTTATATTAAGGTATTTATAGGTGCAGGTGCACATGACAAAGGTGTGGAAGTGAGGCTATAACTTTGGGGAAGTAGGGTCTCTTGTTCCAATGTGCATCCCTTTTTCTATTGTAGATTTTCATTGGTATTTTGTTTACTTTGTGATTACAGCCAGAGAGATGACAAGGGGAAAATTCCTGAACATTCTAGAAAAGCCCAAGAAGTAGCGACTGCTCGCGGACTGGTGGTCTGAAGACTAACCAAGTTCCCTTCCCAATGTAGCTCTGATGATGCCCACCACGTGCTTCCTTGGGAGAGGCTGGAGACTGAGCTTCGAGGACCGCCCTTCTCCCCTGCTCCTGGCACTCTGCGCCTCTGAGGACATTTGGTAGCAAGAGAAGAATCTGTTCTACTCAAGGATCATTGCTGTTTACTGAGTCAGCTTTGTAGCCCTGGATATTGGCTACCACTCTCTGGAGGTCCTGTCCTTCTGAAAGGTTGTTTCCAGGAGCTCTGGGGTCTTATAGTTACTTTGACTCTAATGGCAAAGTCATGTTGATTGAATGGGCTCTGTTGAGTTGTACTTGACCTCTTCAGAAGCATTCATGATGAGGACAGCAGAGACCAGCTGCATTCTGGACCAGACCATGCATCCTGAGCTGTGAACTCTAAGATCTAATGGAGTCTATGACTTCCATTCTGGAGGAAGCGGGGTCTTCTTGAAATGTGCACCTGCTTTTTGAAGTCTATACCTCCAGTGACACTCCCTCCCTTAACACTGTCTGTTCCCTACCTCCCAGTCCCAGCCTGTAGGTCTGACTCCAGACAAGTGGAACTCCTGTAATGTCTCTCTGCAGGGACTAGCTTCTAGAGTGAAAGGCTCATGCTGTGTCCTTCACCTTGAGTCCTAGACCTCCAGACCAGTATGAAGGTAACAGCAGGAACTCTGGTTAGTCTGTTATATTTGTAAGTGAAACAGTAAGCATGACTGGATAGTGGGAGGGCATGGCTGTGGGAGTTCCCATTTGACTGAAAACAAGAAGCCCTGACTGACCTAGTGTGTGAGGGCAGATGGTAGCAGGGTTCTGTCTCCTTTCCCTCCTCTCAGCCACATATCAGATATTTCACTTATGTGCTGAAACACACCCACATGAAAATGTCCTGGCTTAAATACAGCTCTCGCAGATTTTTTTGCTAGTTGTATGTATCTGCTAAAATCTGAAAATCTTGCCCATGGGTGAAATCAGTTAGACCTAGTCTTTCACAGTTTGAAAAGTGCAGAGTTCCCTAAACATTATAGGAAGAAAAAAATCTCTGTGGTCATTGTCCACTGGGAATGTGGCCCCAGGAAAAGTTGTGGTCAAGTTTGTGGTCTTGTATCTGTTAGGGCGCAGTACTCTTCAGGTTCACAGCAGGTTTCTTGACCATTTTTTGATATCTGTGCCTAATGCTAGAATTGATAATCAGATTTTCCCCCTTGTTAATGCTACTAGATCAACACAATTTTACTTTTGAAAGGAAAAGGCAATGAAATATGTACCGGAACATATAAGCATGATAAAACCATTCTGCTGGGTTCTCCCTACAAGGGCCAGTTGATTTTAAGCTTAAGTCTATGATTGACACTTTTTAATCTCACTGAATGCAGTTAAAGTGAGTGTGTGCAAGTGAGCGGAGAATAATGCCGTAATGTCAATTTTTTTCGTCACTCTGTTTTTGAGAGTTGATGACATCAGGCACTTTTCCAAGTTTGGGGAAATTGAAAGCATGCCGAGAATGCTGGGTTAGCTCCCCCAAACAAACTCGAGTCTGTAATGGGAGGCCAATAGTTGGTGTTCTGATCTGCTGTGGCCTCCTTCTTTTACTCTCGTCCTGGTCACCAGCACTTAAGTAAGTAGATGTTTTAGAATTGTGATATTTATTGTTTTTGTATTGTCATCCTTAGAAATGTTAATGATGTATTTTTATATTGCTAATATAAATATGTACGGTATGTATATGTATTTTAGAATGTTAGAGGATACTTTGTGAATAATGTTGTGTCTTGATAATAAATATGTCCCTTGTATAGGAGGTCGAGTTTGTCCTTAAGGGCCAAGCTGCATATTTAAAGCAGAGACTCATCAAAAGTGCAGCTGCAGTAACAAGTGCATTGCCCTGCCAGCCACCCTTCTCATCACTGCTCAATCCTGTGTCCCAGCAGGAACCTTTGATGACCCTTTGCTAACACCTTGTGTATGTTGTCAAAGGTCTGGCTCTCTCCCCAGACATTTTAAAATGACATCCTAGTGGATCCTTCAGCTTGGATTCTTCTCCCACATAAAATCTCTCCTACAGGGGTTGGAGCGCTGGCTCAGTGGTTAAGAGCACTGTCCACTCTTCCAGAGGACTGTGATTTGGACTCCAGCACCCACATGGCAGCTCACACCTGCCTGTAACTCCAGTTCCATGGGATCCAATACCCCACACAGATGTACCTGCAGGCAAAACACCAATGCACATAAAATAAAAATAGATACACACTGAAAAATCTCTCCTCCAGTTACTATGAAGAGTTCCCAGTGCCTTGCATGCCCAGGCCATTGAAGTCTCAAAGTCTCTGCTTTCTTCACTGCTGCTCTTCCTGGAAGCCCTTAGTGACCCTGCTGGAGATGATTCTTCCCTATCAGCGTGTAAGTGTGCCCTTCCTGTGACTGACCACCCAGCACCTCACACCTCAGTGAGTCCTAGTCCAGATCTTACTGCCCTTTAACACCACAAGCTCCCTGAGATTATGCTCTCCTCCTACATGTCCAGTTCTTCCACATCTTCATGGAAGACATCGTCATCTGCTTTGGTACAAGTTCTGTATAACCTTGAGGCCTAGAGAAGAGAAGCCACTCTCACCATGGGTAATGGATTTGTCTTTACCAGAGCATGTCCTTCTAGAGAAAGCATTTCATTTAAGAAAACATTGCTTTATAGCTCACACAGAATATTAATTTTGTTAATTACAAAGAATCCTCAGAAATTTTCCTTTATCTTTTTATTATAAAACATATTTTCTGTAATTTAAAACTTTTTGGACATTCATTGTGTTTGCACAAATGAGCACCTGTGGAGGTCAAAGGGCAACTTTTGGGAGTCAGTTCTCTTATTTCTACCATGTAGATCCAGGGACTTGAACTCAGGTCATCAGCCTTAGCAGCAAGTGCTTTTATCCACTGAGCCATTTCACCAGCCCTTAGAATCTTTTTTTTTTTTTTTTTTTTTTTTTAAGAGAGGGTCTCATCATATAGCCTTGGCTGTCTTAGAGTTTAACATGTAGACCAAGCTGACCTCGAACTCCCAGAGATCAGCTGTGTGGCAAGCACCACCACATCTGGCTGTTACAGATGTTTGCTAGCTGCTCCTTGGTGTTGGTGTTCAGGCTTCTTGTTATTATAGCTCTTGTGGGTTCACTCAAATGAGGCAGTGAAAATGCAGCCGGTAAAAGCCATTTCACCGTCCCTGCAGCCTGAGAACAGCATTTGAGCTCCCAGAGAGTGCTTTGCAATGACGTCCATACCCTCCAGCATTGAGGCATTTCAGGAAGATGGTCTGCAGGCTGGAAAGGGGACAGGTAGGCCAAGGTAGATGGCTCCCAGAAGTCAAATAAGTGGTTTCTTAGCATCTTAAACTTGGCCTAACTTTTTCTCCAAACATGAAGTCATGTTCTCCATTTTATGTCTGCTCCATCCTTTGAGAGATCCAAGACCACCATATTCCAGCAGCTTGTTGAATGGGCAAGCAGAGGTCTCCAAGTTCAGTTTCTAAGTTCGGACTAGCCTGTATCTGTTTAGCCCTTTGCCACCTTGGAAGTGTCCCTGTGTCTGAAAAGGCCATCGACCTTCCCATCCTTTGTCTGGCACTTTTTCTTTTATACCAAGGACAGTTGGAGGCTTCAGGTGATACCAGGTGCAACTGTGAGGCCCCTGTTTGGCACAAGTGCTGGCAGAGTCTGTTAATTAGCACAACACCCCAATGCTCCATTAGCCAGGCCAAGCATTAGGAACTTCCCCTCCTGGGGCCTCTTCCTCCTAATGAGAGCAGGAGAAGGGCTCTTACAAAACATTGCCTCAGAATAATATTCTGCTTTGTCCCCACCAGTAACCAGGGCTGACAAGATCACTCTGTCCATTTCTCTTCTAATTAGCACAATTCCAGCATGGCCTGAGCCAGCAAACGGAGAAAAGCGATCAAAAGCGATCGGACAACCGTACCGAATCACAAACACAAAGAGAGCCATTCCCTGTAATTAGGTGAGACAATCCCTCAGTCCTTTCTCGGCTGGAGTTTGCTGCTAAGACTCTTGCTGTTTAGGTCCCAGAAGCACAAGTTACATGTCTCCCTGGGACACTAATAAGCCCCAAATTGTCTTCCGCTTCATACAACTCTAACCAGAGGACAGATGCAGGGAGGAGGGAGCAGTACACGGTCTCTAAACAAAGCAACTTGGGAGAGGTTTCCCCAACCCCAAAAGGCATGGCCTGTGGGCAGAGGAGGGCTGCACTGGCCACAGCCTGATCAACATCCCTTGAGCCAGAAGCTGAAACACTTGTAGGGCCCTGACCTTCCAAGAAGCCCCTGCTATCTGACCTTGCTTTCTATTCACCTTCTATCCTCACTCCTTGACATCGCATGCAGTGTGACTGTGGCGCCATTCCCAGACCTTCACTGATGTTCCTAGAACCGTGTCAAAGAGAATTTACGCAGAGCCTGCCGTCAAAGAGTGCATGGCCTGCCAGGGACACCACTCACTCCTCGGCCTGCCTGCATTTCTAGTCCCTTCCACCGTCATGTCCCTGACTCTCTTCCTGCCTACTGTCCCTAGTCTCTCTCGGAGGATTTCTTTAAAAAAAAAAAAAAAAAAAAAAAAGAAAAAGAAAAGTAGCCTATTTGCCAACGCAAGCCATCATAATTGACTGCATTCTGTGTGACTCAGAAGTTGCCTGGTTGATGGATTGCAACCCATCACAGAAATACTTGGGGTAATACAGTGGTAAACTTAATTGTCACCAGGGACAGAAGATGTGAGGAGAGTTTCCGTGGGAATCTGCAGCTCAGGTTCTAAGCAGAATCAGTTCACAATTTTTCATCTTCTTTTGATCTATACCTGATATTTTTGGAAGTGACCTCTAATAACCAGAAAATGCTCAATTACATAGACTCAAAGTAGCCCAGAATCTCAGAGTGACCACTGTGTCAACCAAACCTGACTTTTAAACGACTTTGGGGAGACGTCAAGGTAAGTCCAAATGTGTTGAGTCTCCCAGTTTCTTTGGTAAACAGTGTAAAATATCACAAAGCAAATAGCATTCACGAGTCTGTGAGGTGGCCCAGCAGGTAAAGGTTCTTGCTGTCAATCCTGAAGAGCAGTCTGAACCCTGTGACCTAGATGATGGAAGACAAGCACTGTCTCCTGCGAATTGTCTTCTCATTGCTACATGGGCTCCATGGCGTGTGCACATGAGCATGCATGCACACACATACTCTCTCTAGCTCTTTGTCTCTCTTTCTAAGTAAATAAATGTAAAAATAAATTTTGTTATAGCTGGATAGGATCACAAGTTCAAGGACAGTCAGGGCTGCACAGTAAGACCATCATAGATAGATAGATAGATAGATAGATAGATAGATAGATAGATAGATAGATAGATAATAGCCCCTTAAGTTTCTAGAGGCAGGAATGGTTTAGCAAGTCACTAATTTCTTCCTGTTTCCTTATTACCTTTCCCTCTTCAAAGAAATAGCTCAGTGATGTGACAGATTCAAGTAGAATGCCAAGATCCAACTCTGCTCTGGCTGGCTACTAGGAGTGTGGCTTTGGGTGGGGGTAGTCGGCTTCTGGACCTTAGTCTTCCAGTGAGGTGGGTCGAGTAGTAGCTGCTAACTCTCAAGCAGTGGTAGCAATGAATGGCTCCTTGCTACCCATTAATGTGAGAAACAGTGCAGGGCATAGCTTACCATTATATGACCACTTGACAGGACTGTTAAAGATGGACTTGGTGTCTTTCATTTTTTCTCGCTCACATTTGTTAAAATTATTGTACTTTCAGGGGAAATATGGTAAGCCTGGAGTAGTTAATGCCAAGTAGCCTCTCTCTACCCCTTCCCTCCAGCCTTTCACTTTCGGAGGTAACCCCTGGCTAGCACGTGCACTTGGTAAGTTTAGTTGTTGACACTGCAAACTGGCACGAAAGACCATCTGTGGCTGAAATGCACTTGGAAGGAAGTATTTTCCATGACACCAGCAGGTTTCTGAGCTGGCATTGGCTGGCCCATGAGTATCGTATTGCTTTGCATCAGGTTTTCCTCCTGATACTTTCTGAGCATGGATGTTACTCCAGTTATGACCCAGGAATGCATTTCCTGCTTCACTCCATCATCCTCCTGGCCCTTGCTCCACACCTTCCCACCTTCCTCCAGGTACTTTGTCAGGTATGAGTCTGGTCAGGGTCTCATCCCATTCTAAGGCTGAGCAGGACCCATGGCAGCCTCAGGTTCCCCCACAGCCTCCTCCACCCTTAGAGGGCAGCCTCTCCTGACCAGATGAGGCTGAAGGTCATGTCCTGGGGCCTTCCTGCATGCAGCCAAGCTCCAGGAACCCTGAGCTCCACACAAAGGAGCAGCAGGAAAGAATCAAGTGAGAAGAGTCAGTGCTGCGATGGCCACTTGAGCCTCAGTCAGGGACCAGAACCGGAAATAGTCTATAGAATACAGGATGGCTCAGGAAAGCAAACTCAAGAGCTTTTTGTTAATCCTGGCCTTCTGTCCCCCATCTGTCACTGCTGCTTTGCCTCCATCTTAGAGAGAGAGAGAGAGAGAGAGAGAGAGAGTGTGTGTGTGTGTGTGTGTGTGTGTGTGTACACTTGATTGTGTAGGTCAGAGAGCCATGTTGGGTGTCTTTCTCCATTGCTTCTCCACATTATTTTTTTGAGAGAGTTCTCATCGGCCCTAGAACTGACCAATTCAAGTAGGTCAGCTGGCCAACTGACGAATCCTCCTGCTCCCCCTCCCAGTGCTGAGATTGCAGCCATGCCCCGCTAG